GTGGCATATTGGTTAAAGCACTCACCTGCTAACCAAAAGGTCAGCTGTTCAAATCCACCACCAGCTGCTCTGTAGGAGATAGATGAGGCATTCTGCTTCTGTAAAGATTACAGCCTTGGAAACCCTCTGAGGCAGTTCTGATCTGTGCTATAGGGTTACTATGAATCAGAATCGACTTAATGGCTGTAGATTTGGTTTTGGCTTTTTGCTTTCCTGCAAATCACATTAAACTTTGTCAAGCAACTGAAGACATTTTAAGAAAATATAAGAAAGAAAGAAAAAATGGGTAAGTAATATGAGGTTGATGTGACCTTCCCAATGAAAATTGTTAGAGAAAAATGGGAGGTTTAGAAAGTCCAGTGACTTAGGGCTGCTTAAAGGTTAATTTTGACAAGAGATTGACCGTGACTTCTTATCCTCCCCCCAACCCCGCCATCTCTTTCTCAGTTTATTTCAAAGAAGAATGTGGAGCACTCTTCATAGCCTCTGAGGGGTTACAGTTCTTGCTGTCTTGACTGCTTCTGAGCATCCTCAGATGAAACAGAATAGTTCTTGTCTGTCTGTGTGGCATAGCCAGGCAGAATGCAACTCTCTGCCCCTGTTGTTGGTATTTGATGTTCACAAACTTTTATCCATGTGAGTGTATGTGTGTGGGCTCACTGGGGGAAAAAATAATCACCTTTTCAGAAATTTTGTTGTTGTTGTTGTTATTTGCCATTGAGTCGGACCTGACTCATAGCAACCCCTCCTTGGGTTTCCAAGGCAGTATCACTATGGAAGTAGATTTGCCCAACCTTCCTTCCGAGGAGTGGCCGGTGGGTTTGAACTGCCAGCCTTCTAGTTAGCAGTCAAGTGCCTTAGCCATTACGCTACCAGAGCTCCTAAACAGTATCACTATGGAAGTAGATTGCTCAACCTTTCTTCCGAGCAGTGGCTGGTGGGTTTGAACTGCCAGCCTTCTGGTTAGCAGTCAAATGCTTTAGGCACTATGCCACCGGAGCCTATTCTGTCAGAAATTGTATCCTTTCAATTAATTAATTGCATCCTATTAATCTTGTCTGTCCTAGATTACTTAAAAACATACTTCAGGACTCTATTTAGCTTTCTGTACTGTGTACATGTTGATGGTTTCCCTCATCCTGAATGATTGTCTTTGTTTTGTCTTTGTCCTGTCCAAGGTCCAAGACTTAATGAAAGTTTCTCTATTAAAAAAAAAGAAACCACCATAGTTCAATGATGTCGAAAGTAACCTTAAAAATGCCCTTAAACATCTAGAGTGTTATATAATATGTACAGCAGTTTTGGCTAATATAAAGCTCATGGAGACACACACACACACTCAAAGAGTAAAGATATACCTCTTCAGGTTGTGCACATATTTGCCACCATGAGATATGGCATTTTGTGCACCTAGCTTTATTCAATCTACCTTTTAGAGCCCTAGTGACACAGTGATTAAGCACTTGGCTGTTTACTGAAAAGTTGGTGGTTCTAATCCACTAGCTGCTCCATGGTAGAAAGATGTGGCAGTGTGCTAAAGGTTACAACCTTGGATACCCTATGGGACAGTTCTACTTTGTCCTGTAGGGTCACTATGAGTTGGAATCGACTTGATAACAATGGGTTTGGGTTTGGTTTTTTCATTACTTCTATATCAAGAGACTACAAAAAAGAAGCAATCATGTGAGTCTGCATAATGAGAAGGTCCTCTAGATAAATGACAGTGAACCCCCCATATCATTTTAACCAAAAGTTCCAGAACTCTTCTAAACATACTTCTAGAACTAATGAAAAGTAGTAGAATCAACTACTTTGGCTATTCCCCCCTTCTTCCCTCATCAGTGTCTGATGAAGACACTGTAATTAGCAACATAATAAAAAGTGAAACGGAAGAAGGTAAACAAGAAAAATTATTCCCACAACAGGCATCGAGGGGTGGAAGATTGGAACAGGGAAGCTGGCTTGAGATTAAAATATTTACTATATCTAACCAAAAGGACTTTAAGTATATACACAGGCATATCTGGGCAAAGAAAAGGGAAACTATTGGCAGTGTTGTCTTTCGGGGAGCTAGTTTATGCCTAAACTCTGGACACTACTGTTATATGTCACTGGTGTGAAGGGTTGGCTCTTTATTTGGTATACAAATTAGCAGAACTTTCAAACAGTGGATCTGTTTTTCTGCACTTAACTTTTAAAGACAAATAATTGGCAAATAAGCTCTTATGCATCTGTCCTAGGTAACTTAAAAACATATATATTATTTTAATGATGTCAAAAGTAACCTTAGAAAAAAAACCTTTTTTTTTAAAAAAAAAAGAAACTTTAAAAATCAAAAGTGTTATATCTTTTTAAAGGTACTCTGGTGGCACACTGGGTAAGGCATTTGGCTGCTAACTAGAAGGTTGGTGGTTCAAACCCACCAGCTGCTCCACAAGAGGATGAGGCAATCTATTTCGGTAAAGGTTTACAGCCTTGGAAACCCTGTGAGGGTCGCCATGAGTCATTGATTGCAATACCCATCATGTTACAGCTCTCTTCCCACTTTGACTGGGTGCTTATCTTTTCCCTGTGTCCTCCTTTCCTATGCATTCCTGCCCTCTTAGCTATCTCCCTGTGCAAATACTGCCCTTCTGATCTTCCATTGTTTATTGTTCTAGGGAGTATACCTACCTGGTATAAATGTTCACCTTATATGCATTTCTGTTATTTGGCTGGAAGCCATGGGAGTGAGTTCAATTCCAAGCCCAAAGGGTGACTGGGAGCCATATGGTCTTGGGGGTTTCACCAGTCCCTATCAGAGCAGTAGCCTGGTCTTTTTAAATGATTTTGAGTTTTGTTCCACATTTTTCTCCCACTCTATCCAGGATCTCCTATCTTGATCCCTTTCTGAGTGGTTGACAGTAGTAACCAGGCACCATCTAGTTTTTCTGGTCTCAGGGTCATGTAGGCTGAGGTTCACATGGTCCACTAGTCCTTTGGACTAATTGTTCCACACGTCTTTGGTTTTCTTCATTCTTCTTTGCTCTAGACAAGGAGAGAACAATTGCTGCATCTTAGATGGCCGCTTGCAAGCTTTTAAGACCCCGGTTGCTACTGACCAAAGTAGGATATGGAGCACTTTTGGGTAGTATGTTAGTGTAGTCACGTGTAGTATGTAGTATGTTGGCGTTTTTTGGTTTGTATCTTTTTCATGTTTTTTTTTTAAATTAGAATAAATTTAAAGGATTTAGAATGAGAAAACCCTTTACATATCTAATGTTAGTCCAACCTCATCATTTTTTTCATTAATGAGTAAAATGAGACTGAGAGAAATCAAATTGTTTTAAGTTTAGCATGAAAACCAGGACTGCTGCGGTTCAGGCTAGTGCTTTTTCCAGACTCCATGGACAAGGACACATTGTTCTGCCTGCATCTGTATAATAAGAACTGTGTTCCATGATGAGAACCTTGAGGCCTGGTGAGCTCCAGAAGTGCTTGGGAAATTTTACCACTTCTATCAATGTTCTCATGTTTTTAAGGAATGACCCCCTTTTCTCATTTAACTAGAATATTCATGTCTGACTCTCATTTCCCATCCTTTTAGAGTAAATGGGAAGATCCTATATTTATCCTGTACTGTAAGAGTCCTGGATGGCACAAATGGTTAAGTTCTCACTCATAACTGAAAGGTTGGTTGTTCAAATCCAGGGACACCTCATAAAAAATGCCTGGTGAACTGCTTCTGAAAGATCATAGCCATTGGAAACTTTATGATTCTACTCTGACACACAGGAGCTCTGGTAGTGTAGTGCCTAAGGCACCTGACTGCTAACCAGAGGGCTGGCAGTTCAAACCCACCAGCCACTCCTCGGAAGGAAGGTTGGGCAATCGTCTTCTGTAGTGATATCACCTCGGGAACCCAAGGAAGGTTCATAATGCGTCAGGTCTGACTCGACAGCTCATAACAACAACAACTCTGACACACATGTGTCAACTTGACAGCAACTGTTTTTTTTTTTTTTTTTTTCTGTTCTGCACTCTAAGCATTGTCATTGGCTGCTTCAGTTTTTCCTCTGTAAATAGAAGTGATCTTGTCCCTTAAAGGCCAGGTCAGAGGCAGTATCTCTAGGTCCTGTCAAAATGTACCACATCTTTCCCTGCTCACTATATTTTAGGTAAAATCCAATTTGAGTGAAATATGTCTAAATCTTTATGTTCCCTCAGTTATTCCTCTAATAATATTCTTGTGCTTGCTTAGCTTATGCTAATAGGGGAAATAGAATTGTTAGTGGTTCATGAGTCAGTGATTTTCCCATTTACGTACAGGGCAATAACTATTTTTGGTCCTGGAGATGAAACACATGTTTTAGAAATCATCGCCAGATTATAAAAAGTTAACAGCTCTCCTGATACCAGGATGAAACTGTAATTAAAAGTGAAGAAATAATCAGAGTAACTGGAGTTAACGTTCTTAAGATTACAGAGCAGGGTAAGAGGTGATCCAGTTGCCTGTAAACAACTAGCCTGATAGAGTATTTTTGCTTTGAAAAACCTCAAGGAAAAAGAGTCAGAAATGGCAGATTTTTTTACTCCAAAACCATAAAAAGCCAGACTCACCGCCTTCAAGTAGATTCCAACTCACAGCAATCCCCATTGAGTTTCTAAGGCTATAAATCTTTACAGAAGCAGACTACCTCAACTTTCTGCCATGGAGTAGCTGGTGGGCTTGAACCACTGACATTTTGGTTAGCATCTGAATGAGTTAACCACTACACCACCAGAATTCCTAGAGTCTTTACTACAATATCTTTATTTCTCAATTGTGGTTTTTCGTATTTCTTTTGACTGTTGATTTTTCTTTTTTTTTCCCCCTCTTTCTTTCTGGGAAAAAAAAAAGATCTGTGAAGTCACAGTCATACATTAACAGCTGCCACAAACCCTCTTGGCGCTCTGTAAATGAGACTTCTGGTGTGAAATCATTAATTGTGAATTGTATTTTGTGTCTTTCAGAACAAGGAAAAAGCAATCTGTGTGTAACCTCATTAGAAGATGCAGAATGTCGCAGAACCAAGGAACGCCTTTCTAATGGAAACAAACACATCTCAGTTTCCAAGTCTTCCCGCAATATCCCAAGGAGACATACTCTAGGTGGGCCCCGAAGTTCCAAAGAAATTCTGGGAATGCAAACATCTGAGATGGATAGGAAGAGAGAAGCTTTCCTAGAACATCTAAAGCAGAAATACCCCCATCATGCCACAGCAATCATGGGACATCAAGAGAGGCTGAGAGACCAGGTATGAATATTTGTCTCTGCAAAGCTTGTGCTTTAATGAATGCAAGGGAAAGCAAAATGGCCTCCGGTGTAAAAGAGGAAAAAAATAGTTTAGGGGACATGCCTGCCATTTAGATGTTCCAGATCTCTTTTTCAGGCTTAGGAGGAGGTTGTTGTTGTTGTTGTTATGTGCCGTCGAGTCAAACCTGACTCATAGCGACCCCTCCTTGGGTTTCCGAGGCAGTATCACTACGGAAGTAGGATTGCCCAACCTTCCTTCCGAGGAGTGGCTGGTGGGTTTGAACCGCCAGCCGTCTGGTTAGCAGGCAAGTGTCTTAGCCACTATGCTACCAGAGCTCCTTTAGGAGGAGGAGAGAGACTAAAAAAGATTTGACCTGAGAGCGTAGTCTTGTTACCAGCACAACAGTAAGAGAAAAGGATGCCAGAGAAGAAAGACCCAAAGAGTTTGCAGTTCTGTAAAAGAGTATTCCTGTGTTCAACCACAAATGCATCTACAGTGCTGGCAATGAAGAAGTAATTATAATTATTTCATCAAATAAAGCATGAGAACTCCATAGGTTTTGCATATAACGTGACCATGGAAATAACACCCATAAGTATGTAACATAGTGCGTATAGAAAATGGACTCTGAGGGGCTGTGTGGATTGCTAAGACAAATAAACAAAAACTAGATGAAACTAAAAAAACCCACAACCATATAATATGCTTGTTATTTGCATAAAAATATGATACTGCCCCTATAGCCCTGAGAGTTTAGCACACTGAGCAAATGAATTAATATACATATACATTCTCACTGTGAAAAAGAGCATAGCGGGATAGATTTGTCATAAACCCTTTTTCCTTAAGCTAATGTTGAGGTTTTGTATCTGCTCTTTTTCTCTTCCTAATCACAGATGTTTTCCTTTTGCATGTTTTCCTTTCTGCTGTCTTCAGCTACCTATTTTCTCAAGTTATCTTGACAGCCACATGGTATCACCCAACTATGGCTTGGCATGTTTCTGTTTCTTGGCTGTGTGCAATTACTTTTTAGCAGATAGAGCAGGGTTGGGGTCATGGGAGATGTGATACCTCCTCAATGGCCCTCACAGACGTGTTATCAGATCGACCTTTGAATGTAGAGAATATAGTGAAGGAAGCCCAGTGCACTTAGCAGTCTGCCTGGTGAGGGACGAGGGCAGGCTGCTGTTGATTTCGATACCCCAGGTAGAAAGGCAAATTCAGCATTTTAAGTCTGCTCCTCTACCAGCTGGTCAGTTACAAAAATGACATCTAACTCAGTTTAGGATTATCTATGGAATTGGAGATTGGCATTAACCTCAATAATTTATATCTATACTTTATCCTCAATATAATTTCTCTTTTAAATTCAACCTCCTCTATGGAATCTTTATCAGACTGCCCTAAAATTTGAAACATGATTGAAATTTATGTTTGTTTTTCACTCACATTGCCAACAGGCAGTAGAGCTAGCACTGAGGAGCAAAGACAAGAATCCTGGTTGAAACAGAGATGGGCTGATTAACTCTTTGGTGTTTAAGAGGAGGTCTATCTTTTCATTTCGAACATACGTAAAAAATGCCCCTGTTTTTTAATCAGTAGGAGGGTAACTATCCACTTTAGTAGTAGAACTTGTGTCTCTCCTTGTCATTTTTTGAGAAGCCCCATGTTTTGTCCAAAGCTGTTCAGATCAAGGAAACTCAAGCTCAGAGAAGTTATTATTACAGTTTGCTGAGAAGCTGAGGATTGAACATAAATGAGTTTGAGATCAAAATCCTTGCTTATTCCATTGTCCTTTAAGTTAAAGACTGATTGCTTCTGAATTTAGAATAGATAGTATGGTGTGAGTCCATGGGGTAAAAGGACATGGGATATGTGTATATGTGTGTGAATGTGGGGACAGCAGAAGGGGAAAAGGAAGCTAGAAAACTGATTATATGTTGAGTGACAAGGGAGGATCTTTAAAAAATATTAAAATGTTTTAATTTTGCTGAGAAATATGGAAGTTAATTGATCAAAAGGATTTTTTTTTTTCCTATGTGAAACGTATTTCAATTATTATCATGACTGTTATTATTTGAGATGTCATAAGTGTTGCTGATACTGTGGTGATGGTGGCTTTGGCCAAAACTGTTAGATAAGCTAAGACCTTAGATGAGGAAGATTAATTGTAATTAGAAGCTCATAAGGGGTTCTTGATAGGAGATGAAAGGAAATAATAGCACTTATGGCTTAGTGGCCTCATGCTCTAATCTCCTGTCACATCCATCTCCACCATAGGTGTGGTCTTGCCATGACTAGTTAGCTGTACCTTCTTTGGATAATATGTGGTGGACAGATGCCATGTTCTGTCTTATCTGCCTCTTTTGTATGCCAGGCTGACCATTGAAAAGGAGAGAAATTTTGGCACATGGATCTATGTATGCATTTTTCATTCTGCCACTGTGCTTCTGTTAGTGAACCCCAAATTGGCATTGTACACATCAGAGATGAGCTTAGGCATGGCTTGTGAATTTCCCATGGGCATCACCACATCTTCTGTCTTTTCCATTCTTTTTTCTCCTGCTACCCATTTTCCCTTTTCTGCATGCCGTTTGTTCCTCCCTGACCTTCTGACTGTGGATTATCCCAAGCTTTCTTTGTAAGAAACACACAACTAGCCATAAGGAGGAATTCAAATACAGGAGCCTGAAGTACTGCTTCAGCTGTAGAAGTTCTAAATACCAGATCAGGAGCCCTGGTGGTGCAGTGGTTAAGTGCTCTACTGCTAACCGGAGGTTGGAACCCACCAGTGGCTCCATGGGAGAAAAGACCAGGTGATCTCCTTCAGTAAGGATTGTAATCTTGGAAACCCTCTGGGGCAGTTCTCTTTTGTCCAATAGAATTGCTGTGAGTCAGAACTGACTAGATGGTAATGAGTGTGGGTAAATACCAGATATTCTTCTGGTAGCTCTTTCCTTGGCTGCCTTCCAGAGAAGTAGACTTGATGAGAGGAGTGCCAAAGAGCAAGGTACAGAGTAAGATATGAGAAATGACGTGGATCTGGTCCCCTAGAAGCAATATCCTGGTATAAGGGAAATCTAGGTTCTGATTCTTTGGTATTGAACATAATGAGAATTGGAGAACCTTATGTTTTGAAATTTGAATTTAAACACTACAAGATTTATAACTGAAAAACTTATATTTGAGTCTTTGAAAATAAATGGGTCAAAATTTTTCTTCAGTCTAAATTCTCGAAAGGCTACTAAGAGGTTTCCCTAACTCCCTTCTCCAATCTTCAAAAATGCAGACTGCTGTTTTTGCAGCATGATTCTGACCTGCGTAATAGGTACTGATTCCTCCAACCTGCCTAGGGCCTTTCATTTATGCAGAGCCTTCAAATACCAAACCAAAACCAGACCCACTGCCGTCAAGTCAATTCTGACTCATAGTGATCCTCACTGGGTTTCGGAGGCAGTAAATCTTTACAGAAATAGATTGCCCCTTTTCCCTCCATGGAGTATCTGGTGGGTTTGAACCCCCAGCAATCTAGTTAACAGTCAAATGCCTTAGGCACTGCACCATCAGAGTGCCTTGACCTTTCAAGTGGTGAGGCCATATTGCCTGTGGTGAAGGGCTCGGCTGTGGGGCGGGCAGGCCTGGTTTAGAATCTAACCTCTACCATATACCAGTTGTATGATTTGGGGCTAATAATAATCTTGTGTGTGTGTGTTAATTTCTTAATTTGTCAAAGGACAGTAATACCTATATCATAGAGTACTGAGAGACAAAATGATGTGAAGTTTCTAGCCTGGAATCTCTTGCTGTTTCAGTGTCAACTCTTAGCTTTACCATATTCAGTTTTTATACCCAAAAGAAGAGTCTCAGAGGCTATTCTCTTTAAATTAGTATTTAAAATTATTTTACCTTTTACCAACAAATCTTTGACCACTTGAACAGATTTGTTTTTCCTATTGTCAGATTATAATTTTATTGTATTTCTGAAACATATATTTTCTCTTTATTAAAAGCTCAAAACATTTGTCCCTAATATATTTATTTGGCTCCTACTACTTTGTTTTGTTATTCATAAGGTTTTCCCTGGCCAATTCTTTGAGAAGTGGATGGCCTCTTCCTTCTTCCTAGTCTGTCTCAGTCTATAAACTGGGCTGTTACCTGTGCACCAGGTGCATCTCGCTGGGTTTTAAACACCACAGGCTCAGCCTCAAAACTCAAGTCTACATGTTACCACAGTAGGACAAACCAACAGACAAGGTTGTCTTGCTGTTGCAGACCTCTCATATCACCCCCAACTGGGTCCCTGTGGCTGACTGTACCTCTGTCTGGCTTCCTGGCTTTTAATCCCCTTTCTCCTGCTTGTCTGCCCTGCTGTTTTGTGCGTCCCTCAGTTGTCCCTGGGGCTGACTGCTCCTCTGTCCGGGTTCCTGGCTTTTTATCCCCTTTCTCCTGCTCTTCCCACTTGCTACTTCGGGTGTCCCTGAGTTGTCTCTCCTCACCTGTAAACCTGGATGAGAAATCCAGAGAAGATTGAGGTTGTCAAAGAATTCACGTTGCTTGGTTCTACAATCAATGCCAACGGAAGCAGCAGTCAGGACATTAGACAACGTGTAGCATTGGGAAAGTCAACTGCAAAGGAACTGCAAAGGATCAAGTGCTGAGGAGCAAGGATATCTCCTTGAGGACTAAGGTGCGCCTGACACAAGCCATGATATTTCCAGTCGCCTCGTATGCATGTGAGAGCTGGACAATGAATAAGGAAGACCGAAGAAGAGTTGATGCTTTTGAATTGTGGTGCTGGCGGAGAATGCTGAAAGTACCATGGACTGCTGGAAGAACTAACAGATCTGTCCTGGAGGAAGTGCAGCCAGAATGCTCCTTGGAAGCAAGAATGGCCAGACTTCGTCTCGCCTATTTTGGTCATGTTGTAAGAAGGGACCATTCCCTGGAGAAGGATGTCATGCTTGGTAGGGTGGAGAGTCGACGAAAGAGGGGGAGGCCTT